CCACCAGTAAACGACACCGTAACCACCAGTAAACGACACCGTAACCACCAGTAAACGACACCGTAACTACTAGTAAACGACACCGTAACTACCAGTAAACGACACCGTAACTACCAGTAAACGACACCGGATCATCACCGTACAACAGGAATACCAAATAATGGCGTATACTTCACTGTCTTCGCCCATGCAAATTATCTCGCCATATGAAACTTTTACGTAAATTACACTTTGGTCTACTTGACTCTTCGGTTCGCATTTACAAAATGTGTCTTCTTCGCTGTCTGAACTCTGCTCGAAAGCAACGTAAATAATCACTTCAATAATTATCACAGTGTACTACTGCTGTCAATTACCGCATCTGCCTACCGCAATAAACGTACTCCCTCCTGATTTTCACATTTCCGAGGGGAAAGGGTGATATTACGCAAAGTGCTTCGTGAAAAACGGATTAATTATTTGATAATATATCTGTTTCTGTTCACTGAAAGTTGACGTAATCCGCATGTAGCAATCGGGAGGGTGAGTGCGTCCCTCAAGGTTTGACCCCTTCTGGTTCACCAATTGGAGCAAATGAGGTGATATTCGATGCGTCTCGGGGTGTGGAATTGATAATTTTCTCCAAATCAAATAAGATTCTTGGGAATATCTTCAAAAATCGTATTTTTGGGAGGGGAATTTCCGCGACTAAAACGCGTTCTGAGGGACTCAAGACACATTCAGAGGGGATCAACGGCTTATTCGCTTCCTCTTGACAAGACGAATCGACTGGCACTATTCTTAGCCGGTCCCATCTTCAATATTCGAGAAGAAATCTAAGAGAAGGTGGGATTTGGATGGTTTCACTGCACCACTAACATTGATCAATTGTACAAATTTCTACACTGCCTTTCTAGCATAACAGGAATCGTAACTTGACACTTCAGATTTACGATAGACGAATTAAACCTAATTTTGTAATGAAATTTACATATTAAAAAATACCATTAATACATTTTTATTTAAGGTTCTGTGCACCAAGATGGAGGAGCCAGGCAACCGTATTATAATTAAAACATCCTTTTAATACGAGCTTGTCATGGCACAAATAATACTTATTATAAAAATACTTGTCGAAGATTGTTGCCACATTAAGGTAGTGATATAATAATATAATAATATACTAATATAATGAATTAATAATGTTAAACTAAAGAAATAATTTGAATGTTTCAACTTCTATATTTTATTTATATCAACTACAATTTGTCTGGCTTCATAATTTAAATTGTGATTTTAATATGTATCATGCTACGTATATCTGATCACCATCCCTTAAACCCCTCAAAAGCTTCGCCTCCACTACGAGTTTCCCCTGTGCTTGAGCGGCACAAGCTGCGATTTGAATGACTTCGGCGAGTTGCACAGACCTATTACAATCAACAAAATATGTTCGGTTGTCATTGTCACCTGCGTTAGCCGCAGCTAAATATTCGAAATTTCGTCTTTAATTTTTAAAAACACAATTGAATTGCTATAATTTGTTAACTTTTTACATAAATATGTATAAAAACATTTTCGTTTGAAATGTGTACGTTACACCCTCCCTCAAAACACGAAATCACTTGTTATCATGTTACACCACCTGGTCGTCTCATTGGTGTAACTTGATTCCCCAAAAACAGATTTCTAATACTAAAACGTAATATTAGTAAAAACGCAGATTTCAATAAAAAAGTTTATACTAATTGAGCACACACTGTAGAAGTTGAACAAACGTGTTTATTTATGATGAAGTAATGCTTAATTCGCACATATAGAAAAGCAGCTTCATTGTAATATTCAATGTACTATTTGAATAATGTCTTCATTATAACCCTCTTTTTTGAAAATGTTAAGCCGTTTGAAAGAAACAAGTGCATCACAGTATTATCTTAAGCAAGTCGTGAACATTAAATTATGTTATAAATAAATAGCAAGTACATTACAAATTGGCCCTGCATTTGCATATAAACGCTCGCTTGTATGGCAAACGTATTCAAAGATAATCACAATGAAACATTAATCCCACTCGCATCACTCGGCAAACGCATCGTTTCATTACAATGCCCAGTGCGAAATTTGTAGCAAAATAAATACGAGAGCTTCGAACACTCACACTAAGATAAACACTTTTGTTCACTCTAGTATGCACAACGTTCCATGCTATTTCATACTGTAATTTGTATGTTAAATGATGTTATACAACGAATACATTTCGAGTAATAAACAATCCAAACGAAAATGGTATTTAGTGACATATTCCGTACTATAAAAATTCAGGGAACGGAGCTCCTCCAGAAATGATTCACTGACGATGAGCACATTACACGCATCCCAAGAGCAACCGCTGTGCGCGAAGCGAGAAGAGCGCGTGCGGGGCGCCAGGACTCACCCGAGCGCACGTGCTGTGCAGCGGCGCGGCCCCTCAGGCACCGACTCAGCTCCGCCGCGCGCGCCCGACCACCGGGGACTGACGCCAGCGGCCGCCGCAGCAGCGCCGCCGCACTACCTCGAGCGGGCGCGTGGCGGTGGCGGTGGCGGTGGCGGTGGCGGTGGCGGTGGCGGTGGCGGTGGCGGTGGCGGCAACGGCGGTGGTAGTGAAGGTGCCGATTGGCGGGCGGCGGCGGCGGCGAGGCGGAGGCGGTGGGGTGGCGACGGGTGGCGGTCGGTGGCGGCTGTGGCGGCGGTGGGGGCGGTGGCAGAGGCGGTGGCGGTGGCGGCGGCGGCGGGCGGAGGCGAGGCGGAGGCAGCGGCGGCGCGGTAGGCGGAGGCGGAGGCCGGAGGCGAGGGCGGAGGCGGAGGCGAGCAACGGCGGTGGGCGGAGGCGCGCGATGACGGCGGAGGCGGCTAAGGCGGCGGAGGCGGGCGGGGCGAGCGGGGAGGCGGCGGACGCGGCGGACGCGGCGGAGGCGACGGTGCTGGCGGAGTTCGCGGAGGTGGAGATGGAGGAGGTGAATGCGAAAGTGAAGGTGGAGATAGAAGCAGATGTAGAAGCAGAAATGAAGGCGGAGGCAGAGGTAGAGGCTGAATAAGAGGCAGTGGTGGATTTATTGACTGATTCCGGAGCGTCAAATACTAAGGTCATTATATGTATATAGTGCGGTGTTCCGCCCCAGCCGGAACAATCTCTAAGCCCTAGAATAGTCTCCCAACAAATGCGAAGGTATAGTAAAAGTGTGTAAGGGGTGAGGATAGGGCAAAACGGAGGAAAGAAAGATCGCGCATGGTTCGTGGCCCATTTGTAAGGGTACTGCTCCGGCATTCGCCAGATATTGATCAGAAAAACCACGACAAAACTACCAATCAGAGCAGTTAGAATTCTCCTCCAGGCAGCGACTGGACTGGACCCAGCTATCTAGCTAGGGTTGAAAATCCTGCCACTGTGCGAATCGAACCTAGGACCTCCCACTCAGAGACGCTGCAGTGTCATCGGTTGATGCCTTGAGCCACCTCTGCCGGTGTGCTGGTGGGGGAGGTACAGGCAGAGGTGGAGGTGGACGCGGCGATGAAGAGAAATGTGGGGGCGGCGGTGGGGACGGTGTGCAAGCGGGAGTTGAGGTGGAGGCGGAGGGGGTGACTGAGAAGCTAGCAGAGGCGCTGGTGGCGGGGTGGGAGGCCTGAGCAGATGACAGGCGGTGGCAGGGGGAGAGACGGTGGCGGCGGGGGCGGGGCGGGGTGGAAGCGGCGTTTGCGGAGGCGGCAGGAACAAGCGGTGGTGGATGGGCGTGGCGGAGTAGGAGGAAGCTGCTGCGGTAGTCGCTTCCGTAACGCCGCCGCGCCGCGCCGCGCCGCGCCGGCTCCGCGGCGACCTTCGCAGGACGCCCGCCCTCTGCACCTCCCGCGCACCATCACCCACGAAGGCAGACGTTGATCGGACAGGCATGGCCTGCTTATGGGGACGTATATTGCATTCCTCCTCACAAGTTCGTATTTTCAACTGTATTTTCATCGATTGACATATACAGGTGAGTCACTTAACTTTAGCACCTCCTGCAGTTTTTGAACGGTTGAAGTTATTGCAATGCGTTTTTCAGGTATGTACACAGTGGAGTGGGGCTAATTGATACATTAATTCATTTCTATTTTATCACTTGTATTTTATGAGATATTGATGTAATTTTATTTTTTCAAATGAAATTGTATATAGTGTTTTAGTCTATCGTAACGAGTGTAAAAAAAACAAAACAAATTCAGCGATGTGCATATTGTCATATGTTAGATGAGGATTTTTTTGAGTAATTTTGATTTTTTTCAGTTTCTTTTAACGGATTATTTCAATGTAACAGTCTGTCACCGAAGGTAACACAGTGATTCCCCTGCTAACGCGTTAGGGCAAGGGAAGCTGATCGAAATATTTGAAGATAAGAAACGTATTCCAAATTTTCACAAAACTGTTGCAAGTTTTTCCTGAACTCTGCTTTCTATTCTTTCTCATTTTTATGATTCTCTTTTACTTAATAGTTGAAGGATTGAAAAAAAAATTGTTTGTTACCTCAACTCCATGTAATGGGGTGTCACACCACGAGGTATTAATGACATCTTGAATTTAGAATAAATAATTGAAGATTTCATAAAGAAAATTGCACATTTCGAGCAAACAAATTTAATGTTATGGAGCGTATAATGATCACTTAGGAGTAAAAAAATTCAGTGAGATAGTACCAATCACTAAATAAAAAATAGTTAAAATGTAGTAAAAAAAAGGTAAACACCACCATTCAATTTATTGGAGCATATGTTCCAAATGTCCATCACCTGCAGACAAACACGTTTTCAGGCGTGTTTAGAAAGATTTATTAACTGCCAGTGTGATTGCATTCACGCCGCCACTTTCATCTTTATCATGTTTGCCTTCATCATGATCTCGGTTGTAAAGATTTTGAAAGGCGCATGGCGTTTTGTGGATTTGCTCTGGGTCAGATAAGGGGCGACAACACTTGATGGGAACATGTATTATTTACTGATAAGAAACATTCTCTAATCATGGGAACATGAATTTAAGAAACATGCATTACTGGGCAATGGAGAATCCATACTGGCTCCGGTGTGTAGAAAATCAGCGCCAGTAGAAAAGGAAAGTGGAATAGTGAGTGATAAAATGAAAGGACACTCTCGTTTTGACATCTCATTACGCGGAGATGAAGTAACAAAACCTATTTTTCAATACATAGATATGAAAATTCCTATTTTGAATCCTTAACCCTTAGGTAAGACAAAAAAGAAATTGAAAATGAGGGATGGAAAGCAGAGTTCAGGGAAAACGTGCAACAGTTTTGTAAGAATTTGAATACGTTTCCTATCTTCAATATTTCGATCAGCTTCCCTTGCCCAACAGGGTTAGCAGGGGGAACGTTGCGTGATCTTCAGTGGCACACTGTTACATTCAAAACATCTGTTTAACAAGCAAAAAATCAAAACTTACTCAAAAATTCTTATCTAACATATGATAATTTGTACATCATTGGATTCGTCTTTTTACACTCACCACAATAGACTAAAAATGTATATTTCCATTTGGAAAAATACATTTGCATCAATATTTCATAAAATAGAAATGAATACATATATTAAGTAGCCCCACTCCCTCGTGCACATCCGTGAAAACAGCTTTGCAATAACTACAACCGCTCAAAAACTGCAGGAGGTGCTAAAGTTACGTGGCATCCTCTATATTTGTTTACTATTTTTAAATAATTCCCCATAAAAGGAATTTGAAATAGTTTAAATCATCTGCGGTCGTATTGATTTACGTTGATTTCGCTCTGTTGACGCGCCCGGCTAAATCAATCGATATAATCCTGCAATCCTGACCGGAATTTTCGTGATTTCCTCGGTCATACAGGCAAATGTTGGGATGGTTCAAAAAGCCGACGATCACCTCTCATCATCATCCTATCTCCTCATAATTCGTAATTCAATGTTTCACAAGCTTTTCTTACCAAGTTATATAGCCGAAAAACTTACCCCATAATGACTAGACCTCGGATTTTAGGACAAATGCCTATTTAGTTCCTTTAGGAGGTTGTGAAGATGTTTAAACATTATGGAAAATAAATCTACTGAAAGCATGTAATAGTGCCTAAAATGTTCTAAAAGGGGGGATTGGTGCTTAATTTACTATTTTCTGCCTAAAACAAGCAGTTTTAAAGAATTATCATGTTTTAATTACTCATTTCTCAAATTCGAAACGCGAATATTCCCTGATCAAACAAGCAATCGACTACGCATCGAAATCTATCATCCAACACACCGCACATACGGAGCTCTGCAAGTCAATAGGGAGTTTTAACGCCACGCGTAAGTAGGTGGCGTTATGCACTAACAGTCACGTGACCAACCTTGAAGTCATAACGTCTTACCTTAGACCTTATACCTTCATAAATAATGCACGCCTGTAGCCTGTAGAAGTCTCTGCGGTCACCTTACAAGCGGTAAAATGCAGGGGAGGTTGAATTTTTCCAACTCCGATAAACCGTTTCTTGTATGTGAAGCAGTTACGATTATTCCTTACCAAAGCGCTGCACATTGAGAAAAAGGTCTAAAACCCGGCCAAAATTCGAAAAACAGATTCGAGTTGAAAATTTTTAAATCTTAGGTTAGCTACACTGTTGCTGGGACTATTAAATCCCGTACGTAAGAACGGCCGGAAGTTACAAGTGAAAGTTGTATTTGAGGCTGGTTAAAGAGCACTATTGTGTTTACGGCGTCACCCAATCCTTGTCGATAAAAATAATATGTAAATCGATATTAATAGCATGTAAAGGACAACATATTAAAAATATTGAGTAGAAACAACTTTCTCTTCCAACATGCTCCACTTAGAAAACTATAGACAATACCGCAGCAAAAATCCATAGTTGTCTATTGTAATCTTATAAAGCAATAAGACGAAGACATTTTGTTTTCTTTGTTTTATTCACAGGTGATTTGAACATCAAAAATAGCATTTTCATGTCGAAAAAGAACCAAACTTGCTAAGAACTGTCAGAAATATTTACAATACAAGTAGTAAAAATTACATTTTATTTTGCGAGAGATGTTGCGACACGAAGCCGACAGGGTAGTAGCGCAATCCTACGAAAAAAATACAACCACTTTTACTACGTGTGTCATACAATAGCGAATAAGCGAATAAAGCACTAAAAGTATCACTGACGTAACTATGGACGTAGCGTGTTGGACGAAGCGTTTTCAAATGGTGTATACCATAAATAGGCATGGACACAACGATACGTGTATTTCACCGGTTAGTTCCACAATGAAGAAAATCAGAGTTTGCAAATGTAGAGTGAGTGTGTGAGGTAAACTTTCGGCACTAGTTGCGTCGTTTGGCAGATGGCGTCTTCGTAATTTAGAGTTAAGAAAAATAAGAAGAGTTAAGTTGCACGCCATCAGACGAAAGTATTTTGTTTTTATCTTAACATTTGAAGTGCATCTAAAAGTAAATGCTTTTACTAATGGCTGTCTAAATGTATCAAATTTGTAA